TTGGGTTTCTTTAAGTTACATTGCAAATGAACATAATTTCAATTTTCTTTCTGTTTGCTAGAGATAAAGCCAAAATGATGTTAATATTTGAAAAAATATTCTTCTTTCTTGTATGTTGGAGGGAAAGGTTTTCTAATGCGAATGCTATGTACCCATAGCCCAGCTGCTCCTCCCCCTCTCCAGCTGCCTACAAACCTTTGAGCACTAAACATCATAAACTGTGACAATAATTTCTAAGGCTGTTACACAGCTACTTGTTAATGGCAAGCTCTACTGGATTTTGAATATACTCTTTTTTTAAAGTACTTTTAATAATGATTTAGATTTTATTTATGGTTTATTTATACGTTTTTTTTAACTGGTCTTTTTTTTTTTTCGTAATTCTCTGTGAGTACAAGCACACTGTAATAAGGTACATATTTCAGACTGGTAAAATGCAGGGTTGGTACTGCATTAAAGGTGCAAAAATCTCCTTCAGAATAAAGTGATGTGTGAAAACAAGAATGTCCAATAGGAAACTAATAAGTATGAAACACATGTTTGTGCTTGATAAGTAGAAAATAGTTTCTTGAGTGAGTCACTCGTCTTTTTCTTCACAAGTATGCCAGTGACAGAAGTTTCAGTTACAATGTAAAATCCAGAAATCTTCAAAACATTTGCTATGTAAGAGGAAATTCTGCAATTCAGTTTTTTCCAGTGTAGTTATCAGAGACACACTCTTAAATTATCATGGGTGTTGTATATCTTGGAACTATTTTGAGTACAGATGCTCTGGAAAGAAAGGCCACATTTTCAAGATTGAATTGTTCAATTTTGTGAATGAGAAGGAACTCTTGAGAAGTACAAATACCCATTCTCAAAGAGCTACTTTCAAAGCTACTCGTACAGCTTGGGCCAGCCCCTAGTGAAGTCAATGAGAAGTCTCTGAGACTTATGAAGAATTAGATACAACAAGGTACATCTCTCAACTAAATGTTTCTGCAGAAGATGTAGTTATTTAGTGCAGAGAAAAAGGAGAATGGGTACTATGGAGGGTAGACAATGAGTTGACAAAGAACAAAATGTAATACGACAATGAAATACCAAAACAACTCCAACATTTCAGACATATGGAGCAGGACACTGCATCCTGTCTACTGCTTTTAGGCTGCCTGAGCTTGATCTAGTCATATATACCATTTAAATTAGTGGCAACTGGCATTAGGTATCTTGGTCATTTTGTCTGTTGACGATAGCTGAGCAATGTTTTCTTGAGGGGTGATAGGGTATTTTGAAGTTGTTGATGCTAGCACAACGTGACAGGACCTGTCCTTACAGCAGGTGTGGGTACTCTGCACAGCACTTTCTGCATTATCCCAAAGGGACTTTGTAGACATTAACATGTTCTGGATGGAAAGGAAGTTTGTTCTCAGACACAGCCTAAAGGATGTGTTAATCAAGCGATACAGAGAATGTTCTATAAATTCTATGAGTTGTCCAAGTTATTTGTTGCCCATTGTAGGCCACATGTCTTAGGCTAATCCTGCCTGTATTGAACAGCAGCTTCCCATTAGGCATAGACATGAAATGGCTATCTTTCCTGACGTTCCTAGGCAAGATGATTAACTCGCATTCCATCTCTTTGGAAAATCGTACCATGTGCCTGTGTCTGTAATTGTTGATCTGGCTGAGGGACAGGCAAGAAAAAAGCCTAAACTTTCTTGCCATTATTTCCTATATTGTAACAAAACTTAAAACGGATATGTTTTCAGTTTCCAGATTAGAAGATTAAACTGTTCAGTAACTCAAACTTCTGCCATCTCCTTTTCCTGTATTACCAGTTAGTCACCTTGAAGGCACTCAATTCTTGTAGTAGAAGTCCTAGCCTCAGTGTGATGACTGATAATGTAAAATTGCTTGGGAAAATACCGTTACTGAACTAAATGGACAACTTCTATTTCTGTTACTTTTCACACAGCCAAATACCTGCTGGCCCACTAATCTGGATTTGTATCAGGGAAACCTGTGCTCGGTAATGACAAAGTTTATTTACATTTCTGGGTACATACCAGGTTTTTACAATTCCATCTCCAAGAGAAGTTTCCTTTATAGATATTTTGAAATAAGCTGCTACTAAAACGTGGTCTAGCTTTGCCTTTCAAAAAAGCTGCAGCCTTTAAAATGAAAATGGTTGGATTATAAATCTTTAGGAAATGAAAGGAAGTTGACACAAGAAGTGGTTTTTTTGCATTAGAAGTCTAAACCTGTGCAAGTCTTTTATGGAAAATTTTAACCACTTTCCTGATGATTACATATGAAAGCTCATGATTTTTAATTCCGTTGCTGGCATGAAACACCTCTTTAATTAGGATTTTAAGAAGACATGATGCTATACATTTGAGATTATTTAAAAAAATTCTGGGGCATGCTGATGAACTAAAAAATGGAGATAAATGGTGTCACCTTTAACAAATGCATTCCAAAACACAGTTGATGCAATCAAGCTTTTCCAATATAATGGTGTTTTTAACAAGACTTGAGGGCCTAAAATTGACATAGCTGTAATTAAAGTTCTGCATGCTGATCTACCATGGCATGCACACATCTCTGTTATTAAGTCTGCTCTACCAAAAAGCTGAAGAAACACACTGTGAAATGTATTTAAAAAAAATAAATCAAATATATTTATTCCAAGTGGGAGATACCCGCACTCAGCCCTTGCAGTGACTGTAGGCAGCAAATTAAAGAATGTACCTAAAAAGTTTTAATTGTTTCATTTGTCAGTCTACTGAAGTGATCATTCACCTGTATGTTTGCTTTTTTCTGTTGCATTTATAAAGCTGTGATTAATGTGATATCAAATCCCATTCAGCTTCTGGTATCTGAGAGAAAATGCTGCTTAATAGTTCAATTACATTTATTTATCTTTCTTCAGCTTTCTACCTTCCTATCTCATTCCCTAGTTTGCAGAAACATGTTTTCTGTTCTGCCCCCTTCCATTTCTCATTTTCTTTACTGTGCCTGTTTTCTTATTCAGCATAAATAATAATTTTGCTTATAGTCATCTAACTTCATTTATTTTAGGAATAAAATATACCTCCAGGCTGTCTTTTCACTAGCCAGAACAAAAAAGGAGACTGGTTTCAGGTCCTAATGAATCGTTCATTTTGGGGGAAATACAGTGCGGTTGACTGAAATTCCATTAACATCTTAGGTATCCATTAAAAGGGCAAGTGTAATTCATTTAAATGCAGAATGGAAGACAGACTAGGCATATGAAAAATAAATGAGCACTTAGAAAAAATGATCGTGCTCATTTCAAAAACTCTAAAGGTTACTCTGGAAGAACTCCAGACATTGTGACCACAATCTCAATTTTCAATACTGTGGCTGTAAAAGTCATGAACTGGAAATGGGGAAACTCACTTTTACAACGGCACCATTGTAGCCTGAGTATTGTGTCACCATAGATTCTTCTGCACGGTTGCCTTTGCTCCAAGTTTGTCATTTCAGTGTTACTTCCAACTTGCTCTATGTATGTCTGTACTCTATATATAGTCTTAATATAATGTTTAATATTTAAAGATTATTTTTAGTTAAAAAAACCAACCTGAATTACCAGTTCTACATTTCTCCCCATTTGCAAGCATCAGACCAGTTACCTATCATTCTCTGCATTCATTTATAGTTTCTTGCCTTTATAATAGGTACTACGGTTGTGTAATTACTCTTGCTGAAGCTCTCTGGGTTGTGCTGCTAAGACTTCAGCTTGCCCTTCCATATGGTGCTAAATTTGTTCTTTTGCAATTGGAATCTTACTCTTTTGTTCAAAGTGGAGCTTTTAATATTCTAAGGTATTAATTTAAACAATAACTAGACTCTGCTATTCTTTTTTCTAGCCCCTTACAGCTGCTTAGGAAATTTTTGATGACTGTGAGAGAGGGAAAGTGAAGGGACAGAATGCTGATTAGTTGGTTTTTAGCAAAAAAAAAAAAAAAAAAAAAAAAAAAAAAGATTTGCCCAATAAAACTGGCTTTGATTAATTTTTCACTGGAAAATGAAATGAAGAAAAACTTAGGGTTTTTTCTTTTTTTTTTTCAGTTTTGATACATTTAGGCCAAAAATATCAAACAGATTTCTTTCTGTCTCTTCTATCAATGGCAAGTGTCTGCAAGTGACTGCAATTTGGCAGTCTTTATGTCTTCAGGATTTTCTACAGAATATGTATAATGCAATAAGCAATTCAACATTCATTCATATAATTATAAGTTGCAAGATGAAACGCTGTGTTTGTCAAAATAAAGGCTCATCTCTAGTGCTAAAGTACAAAAGAAACCCAGCATTTCTAGGCCCGGATTCATCCCATCCTGACATAGAGCTCTGAAATAATTCAGATGAATCATGACCACTAGAGCACAGAGCACATGGATCCCGCGTGGTATCTTTCAGTACCAGATTGCATGCAACTAAATTTAGACGTCTAAATGTAGGATAGCAATTAAAATGACTTGCCATGTCTTCAGCCTTCCTCTCCTCTGCCCTAGAGAGGCAGCAGTCTGCTGCTGGGCTGCACTAAGAGCAGTCTCTGTCCCCGCTGCCCCAGTGCCAGCTCAGTGCTGTGGGCGCGCAGGGCTGGAGGTCCTCCAGCACCCTGCCCAACAGGCACCTCTGCTCCCTGTGTGGGCAGTGAAGGTCAGCTGGAAGGACAGGGGTAGCCACCTCACAATGAGCTGCAGGTGGGTGGTGATGAGATCACAGAGGCTATAAAAAGGGCTGCAGGGCTGGGGCAGGCCTTAGGCTGGGAGGCAGGCTGGAGAGGTGAGTGCAGAGGATGGGAGGAGAGGGGACAGGAGGGAAAAGGGTGCCCTCTCCCTTCAGGGACTGGGCCTGGACCCTGCTGTAGCCCTACTGGGCTGCAGGGTTGTTGGCCTGGTGTCTCCTGGCCACGAGGGAGCTGTGGGGCTCAACAGCCTTTGCCTGTGGCTGCAAACTCACCTCATCCTACTTCTCCAGAGGCATCTGCAGGAGACCCCTGATGCTACTGGTGCCACGGTTTTTGGGAGCGCTTACCGTTGACCTGCATTCTGTCCACCATGAAGCAGAAGGTGCTGGACATGAGAGAGGGTGGTAAGTGAGATCAAAGTACCCACACAGCTGCTTGGCGAGAAGCAAGAAGCCCCAGCAGGGTGGGGTAAGTGGAGTAGAGAGGTGAGGGCGAGGTAAGGGCAGGCTTGGGCTCTCCTCGTCAACCCCAGCTGTGGCCATGAGCACTTCTCTTGTACTACTCATACAGTGAATAACATGGAATGTTTGAAGTTTGTTCAAAGAAAACAATCAGCTTTAATTCAACACGTAAGAGCAGAAAATGATGAAATAAGCTTTTTATTCTTTGTTCTGGAGACAAGATTTGGTTGTAATATTGAAATCATGGTTTATTTAATACAGGACCGTGTTATTTCTATGTGGCATTTTAATCAAACATGCTAGAGTTGGAAATTGAGAGGTTTCAAATAATTATGTTTAATTACTTAAGCATCATTTAATCAAAATAATCTTCAATGGTAATAATTATAATTGTCAGTCCTTTTCTCACACATACTTAGATACGTCATATTAATATCAACCTTGATTACCATACTTATTGAAAACTACATTCCAATCAGCAGTATACCTCAGGAAATTTCAGAAGCATCTTTAGTCCTTTATTTTTACTGGCTATATCTTCAGCAAATGTTATAAACACCCATAAATCCTGTAGCTTTATAAATCAAGTCTTTCAACCTATTGTTGATGATTTAATTACCAGTCATTGGTCAATACATCATGTATATGCATTAATCTCATGTATATACTGTGTTTTCAGTTAGGAGTAAAGTTTTTAAACCCAACTAAGTCAATGTGAAAGACTTCAGGGCTTTGACTCTCCTTTTAAAATTTTGCTTCATGATGATCTTATATCAGATATTACTTTTATCGGTAATTCGGCTAATACTTAGATCTGCTGAGTATTTATAATACATTAAATTTTAAGAACTGGCACTTTCAGGTTATGTCTGCATTGCAGCTGCTGAGGCAGTGCTACCTGAACAGCTTGAAATGTGTATTTGAAGCCAGTGAGATGCTGGAAGCATGGTTTGCTTGGGTTAATGTAATCTGTTAAGAAGCGTGATAAATTAGTCCCTGTGGAGTTTAGTACTATCACAGTATGACTGCTGCTGGAACCTGAACTGGTGCATTTTGAGTTGTCTTGGCTGGTGAGGTGCAGCGATAATGTATCTCATTAATTCCAAGTCTGGAATGATTCCTCAAGAATTAGCAGAGCTGCTTTGGTATAAAGGCAAAATGAACAATAGTAGTGAGGAACCCATTCGGTTTAGCTCAGTTCCTTAGGGAAGATTGTTGAAACAACTCTCAGACAGCACGGCTGAGCACCATCTTCAAAACAGAAGCAATATTTGGGTCATGACATTTCCTACATCTCCTAGCTTTGATCCCACCCTTGAGCCGTACATCTGGAGGGTAGCATGGCTTCAAGGCTCTGAGACTTTCAGAAGAGGGCCCCACTGTCCCTGGGTTGCACAAACACAAAATCATTATTAAGATGGCATAGGGACTTCAGTTATTATGGTTTAAAGTTTGACCTACTGCCAAAAAGCTGCAATTTTATAATTTTCCAGGATGAAAAGAAACTCAGTGCAAGCAGGTGTTCGGCAGTATAACAGGGTGATGTATGCAGGAGTGGTAGTCACTTTTTTATCTTACTCTGGAGTGCACATACACAATATACTGCCATATTCACATCCAATTTCAAAGCATGAGACATATTTAAGATCAAAAGAAAGCACGGCTTCATTCCCTCTTGATTCAAAATGAATCCCAAAACTTTGCTAGACAAAACTTTGGACCCAAAGCATTATTTGTTACCCAGTAACACATTATAATGTAAAATCAAAAGCCATATTTAACTGCATCATCTCAGATAATGTATTTATTTGTCACTGATGCTGCATTAAACACTTAACAGATATCACCAGCAAGGGCAATAGAACTAATAGGAAAAGTGAAGTTCTGGCTATTTCTCTGCAGATAACATAAGTAAACACTGACTTTCTCTCAGGTACCACATAGTTCAAGTTTGTAAAAATTTTGGCAATTAGTGGAAAAGTAGACACAAAGTATCTGTGTTAGTGTCAGAGCAAGTTAACTCTCACAGCAACAAAATAGAATGCTGACAGGCTACTGATGTCAACCAAACATCTATGAAACTAGAGTCCAAACAAGTTGTGTTCTCCTTTTTGAAAATTGCAGGTGTATCTGGTGTGTCATTCTGTGACCCGAAAGGTTCCTCAGAACCTTCCAGAATCCCATCTGTCTCACTGGACCGACTGCCTCTTATTTTGACTTATTCTATCTCCAGTGCATATATGAAGTGGTTTCCTGATTAACAATCAGTCTTCCACTCCATGGCAGATAATTAATCTGAATTTGAATCAGGATGTGATTTTTTCACACAAATCTAATTTTGTGTGAATTTTTCACAAACTTTTATTCTCATATGACATTTTATAGCAATTTGCAAACTGTTAGAAGTAGTAATTAAGTTTACAGTGATCCGTCTCCCTGGTATTAGATGTGATCTGCAGTGATGTCCAGTAGCAATAATCAAGTGGCATTTTGGTGGGTAAGGAGCAAGTAAGAGTAAAATTCCGAGTTTGTAATTTCAGAGAGGACTTAAGATACAGTGTCATTTCTATCAATCTGGATCTCATACCTGATGACTTTCAGCATGCTCAGCACACTGTGGCTCTCGTCTTTATCAAGGCAGTAATAGCTCAGTGTGAGCAGAGATCTTCCTATTTTCCTTCAGATCCAGTATTTCGTAGAATTTCATCCTACAGTCTCTGTAACAGAAGACAGATTTGGCCTATATGGGGCTTACATTGGAATTGAAATGCATCTTGACTTGATCAAGTTTGTTTATGAAGTACTTTCAGCACAACTGTACCTTTTTTTTTTATGGTGACTTCTTTACCTACGTGAAAATACTTGTTTTGTGTATTGCTTTTCTGATCCTGAATGATATGTTGTGGTGGTGTCACAGTGATATTTCTTCATACCTGCACATTAAGAGTGGTTGTATAGCTTTTTGTTAGATATCTTTACCAATACATATTTTTAATGAAGTTTGGAAGTAGTACAAGTCAGTCTGGTCTAGTAAAAAGTCTCGTAGTATAGCCTTACTCGAACTATCTTAAATATCAGAAAAGGTAATTTTCTAATAATATTAGATACCATATATATGCGCATTAATATTAATCTTCCATGCTTTCTTACCAATCTTTTCAAAGAGTCAAACAGAAGACAAAAGGTTGCAAGTTATGATTTCTCAACTAGTGAGAATGATCAGTTTTATTATACCCTTTAAAAATAATTCATGTTCAAGTAAGCAATAAAATACTCAAATACTCAAAGCAACTACATTTCTTAAGTAGATTGCCAAATAAATAGTACATTTCCATAGAGTGACCTTCCTTACTTATTAGAATAGAAAATGATAGCATGAGATCATTTAAAATTATACAGTGATGCTGAAGAAAAGAAACTTTAACATAAATTAAGATTGAGGAGATGTAATATTAACTTTTTGGGAAAACACCACAGAAGACCATTTCAGTAAATGCATAATAATCTACATTAACTGCCACTTAGAAGAAACATCAGAGACCTAAAAGTCTAGAAGTCTAAAGTTAAAATCTTCTTTTTAAGATTACAAAAAGGGGATTTTGTAGCACATTAAAATAATCAAACCTAAAATATGATTGTCAATAACATATTTGCATTAATGTTGAATACAGTGGAGCGATCAGTGAAAGGAATGTTCTCCAGCCATATGGCACTGGTAAAGAGCAGGCCAGCTCTTGTCAGAGGTCACAGTTTGCTGGCTGCTTCCATGGGCTGGAGGTGGCAGGGCCTGCCTTTATGTGAGAAAACCTAAAGTCTATGAGCCAGGGCACTAAGCCAGAAATTATGACAAGTGATGTGGGGATTGGTCTAGATCATCTCAAGAGGATCCTGTCCAACCTAAATGATTCTGTGATTAATGAGATGGTTGAAGATTTTAGGATCTCAGATTTGCTTAGTAAATTTATATGTAGTGATGAGAGCTACCCCAGTAGTTCCACAGATCTGTCAGTGTACCCTCCTCTCTAAACCTGCTGTTCTCACTCCAGGCTGGCACGACTTGGAAAGGTCTCAGAGTGAAACCAGAATGGCATGAAGAGGGAGTCAGGGGGACAGGAAAGCAGAGGCTGTTTGCTAAAATTGTCAGTGTTTGAATACACATGGAAACATCAGAAAGTGCTTCTGAGGTTGCTAAAGCTCAAATGCTTGTGACTATTCAATAGCATAGATAGATTTTAAGATGGGGAACAGGGAATCCTAGACACCACCAAGATGCTCCAGAAGTAAGAATCATTGACTTTTAGGTAGAGAAGGAGACTGAGGGAAGCAGCTGGGGTCTGCCTTGGTGCAGAACAAGTTTGTCCTCTACTGGCTGAGAAGCAGTGAGCTCAGTTTCAGACCTAGGAGCTGTAGCAGATCACCTTACATCCACTCTTGGTTTTTTTTTGAAGGAGATGTCCAACTCCCCTCCATTTCCCCTTCTCCCTACTATTCTGTGATTACTCAATATTTGAGCCAGCACTAAATGCCCAGGGGAGGCAGGTTAAGCATGCGTTCCACTCTGCTTCCTAGCAGCTCTACCAGGTTAGTACTTGATTTCAGAAAGTTCTCATAAAAATATCACCATAAAAGGGTGCAGTCATTCCACAGAGAAGGAAGAATATACAGTAATTTCCTTGGAGCAGCTTTTTGTATTAGAGCTGTCAAGATTCATCAGCATGAATGGAATGATGGTGGTTCAAGTCTCCACTGGATGAGAATAGTAACAGCAGCAGCAGCAAAACAAATGAATGCCTCTTTTTTTTTTTTTTCCCCCCTTTTTTTTTTTTTTTTTGACCTAAGTTTTAAAACTTTGACTTAGATTCCAAATTTCTCAGTGTTCTGATATATTTGGACCTGAAGTTTGGCATCGTTCTTATCTGGACAACTTTCTTGAGTAAGTTACG